GACCACAACAACAGCAAGGAGGTAGAAAGACTGTCTTACCCTGACTTAGCAAGGTCCAGCAGTCTTCTATATTTGTCTCCTGCAAACACATAGGACTGCATGTCCAAATCAGTGGTCAAGATGGGGGCAGTTCTTTGCCCAACAGGCCATTAGTTGAGGCTAGAATGAACTCCAGCAGGAGCAACAACAGTGTCCAACATATTTTCGGGAAAGTGCACAGTGCTATTAGGAGCAACAGTGTCTCATGTCAATGGAGTACTAATATTAAAACATTTAAATGCCATGTTCTGCATTTCTATGAAGTGATTGAAGATTAAGCACTTATGTCTGACTAATCTCATAGGTAAAGGAAACATGAGTGAAGATAATCTGTAATACTCAGGAACTTAGCTAAATAACTGAATGAAACTTCCCTGAGTAAAGCAGTGACAAATACCTAAACAATATAACTATTTACATATAAATTCATATAAATCCCTAAAATAGAAGTATAGTAGAAATGTCTAGACAAGAGGTAGAACTATAAAGGGCAGCATGATAAATATCCCAAATTGTATCAATATACAAAATGTCTGGAACACACGCAAAAGTATACATATATAGAATATGGTACGAATAATGTGCATAAAAACATCATAAATGAAAGATTTCACACAATATGACAAAATATACCATTCTTCTGGGAAGGGAATATAAACTTAATTTTACATAGCTTATCACAAATAAGGATATATAACAATGTAAGCTGCAAAATACTATTATCTCACTCTTACTCAATTCACAATAGGCTAATGTACCTATATCCCATCTAAACCATATCTTTCCTAACCATACCCTATTCCTGTCTAAAGGATAAACCTGAGTCTAAGCATCACCTTCCATACCTGACCCTAAGTAACTAAAACCAACCCAAAGAAGATGAATATTATCCCCAAATTCGAAGAGTAGGGAAAGGGGGCATCATTATCTTAAGGTTACTTCCTGCTGAAACGGGACAATGATTGCTCCATGGGATCCTGTAGGAAGAAAAATTTTAGCAACCAAATTTCTCAACAGAACTGGCTGTGACATATGTAGCTAGTCACTGTGTGGCAGAAAATGCTTGACTGTAGTTCTATTTGAAACTCTGGCCAGGGTGTAATAAGAAGGTACACCATTATAGCTAGCTATTCATGAGTTGTCTCGAGCCAAACAGTCTCAAACTGGTTTTAGGGTGATGTTTGTAGTCCAGATGCATCAGGTTGAGTCAAGTGGAAATGACAATGTGGAGCCCCATTTTCTTTCTGGAGAGTTCAAAGATTGCTGTTAGGAATTGTTATTATTCCTTGTGGAAAACTTAAACATCAATATTAAAGTAAAATTTTCAAGTTTTAAGGTATGCATTAAGGAAAGGCAACAATAAGGTTTAAAATGTATATGAGAAAATTAGGATTTCAGAGAGAAAATTGCATATTGTTAACTTATTATTTTCACTTATAAATTAGGCACAGCATAAGTAAATATTATCATGTGTTAAGCTGACAAGAGTTGGACTTGTTGTGGCTACTCTTAGATGTCAACTTGACTATATCTAAAATTAACTAAAGCCTAAAATGGCTGGGTATATCTCTAAAGGTCTTTGCTTAAGCATTTAAAGTGGGAAGATTCAACTTTTTAGTTATTATTTATTTTTAAACAAGGACTGCAGTTTCACTTCCCTCCTGTCTTCCCCGATACTCCCCCTATCGCCCCTCTCACTCACATTTACTCCCTCTGTTTCCAAACAGAAAAGCACAGGCCTTCCAGGGAAATCAACCAAACAGGAAATATCACATTGCAATAGAAACCTTCCCTCTTATTAAATCTGGATAGGGTAACTTAGGATAAGCAGCAAAGGAATCTGAGACAGCCCTGTTCTTACTGTAGGAGTACCACAAGACGAAGCGACATAACTGTCGCATATATGCAGAAGGCCTAGACAAATCCCATGCAGGCTCCCTGGTTGAAAGTTCAGTCTCCATGAGCCTCTATGGGCTCAGGTTAATTGATCCTATGGGTTTTACTATAGTGTCCTTGACCTCTCTTGTTCTAACAATCCTCTTTCCCCCTTTTCTGCAGGATTCTAAAAGCTCTGCCTAATGTTTGGCTGTGGATATCTTTATCTATTTCTATAGGTTGCTAGATGAAGTATTTCTGATAAAAGTTAGAATAGACACTAATCAATGAGTATAACAATAAATCATTAACATCATTACATTGACATTTTTGGTCTCTCATGTTTGCTTCTGTCCCAGTTATCAGCACTTTCCAGCATCATGGTTCTGGCATGTAAGGTACTGTCATGGATGTGTTACTTGGATGGGTCTCAGGCTGAACCTGACACTGGTTAGTCATTCCCACAATTTCTGTGCCATATTCCCCTAGTACATCCTGTAGGCAGGACAAAGTCTATGTAGAGAGTTTTGTAGTTAGATTGGTGTCCCAATTCCTCCACTGGAAGTCTTGCTTTGATAAAGGAAGTGCACAGTTCAGGATAAAATTCCCCTATTGCTAGGAGTCCTTGCTATGGTCATCCATGTCCATTCCTGGGAATTTCCATTACACTAGGTATTTACCTAACCCTGAAATACCCACCATTTCCAATTTTCTCTTCTAGTACTCTCCTATCTGTCTACCTAATCCTTTCTGTTTTCATCCCTCCTCACCCAGAGTGCACCTGTTGAATATATTCTATTTCTCCTTTACAAGGAGATCCAGGTGTTCCCTCCTAGAGCCCTCCTTGGTAGCTAGCTTCTTTGGGTCTGTGGATTGTAACATTGTTATCCTTTACTTGATAGCTAATATTCACTTGTAAGAGTACATACTATGTCTTTCTGAGTCAGGATTACCTCTCTCAGGATGATTGTTTTCTAGTTCTTCATCCAGTTTTCTCTACATTTCACAATGTCATTGTTTTTAAGAGTGAAGAAATACTCCATTGTGTAAATGCATCACACTTTATTTATTTGTTATTTGGTTGAGGGACATATAGCTTGATTCCAGTTTCTGACTATTATGGGATATCCACTTTTAATTGGTATCTTTGAGGTGGGAAGTCATATATTTAATCCAGATCTTTTGAGATGGGAAAACCCACCTCTATTCTGAGCCATACTTTTTGCTGGAAGTCTATATAAAAGATATTAAAAGAGACAGTTTTTCTTTTTGCTTTCCTGATTTCTTCTTCATTATCAAATCCATTCTTCATTGGCATTGCAACCTACTTGTTCAGAATTCCAACATCTATTGAAGACCAGCTGAAACATACAGCTTCATGAATTGAAGAACTCTTGGAATCTTTTACCTTCAATTCATAGACAGTCATTCTTGAATTAATGGGAGCACAGTCTGCAAATTATTCTAATAATTATTCTTTATATGTAGATATAGAGAGATAGATTCATTCTTTAATTAATGTTACATTATTAGAGCCTAATACAGTATTGGAACATGCATATATGATTAATAAATTTGTAAAAGACATAACACCAACACTGAAAGTTAATACAAACCATGACTCAGTTAAATTAAAATACCCTTGATTTCATTCATATCATAGTATGTTATAAATGTATATTTCTGTATTTCTGTGCTTGTATATATTAATGTGTACACACAGAAATTTTAGCAGTCTTACACTGAAATATGTGTTTTAATTAGTAGCATTGGGCATAATTTTAGTTACTAAAGTAAATATCTTGCTGTATTCATGTTAGTTTACTTTCTGTAACAAAATTATTTCTATGTGAATTAGGTACTGCATGACTGGGTAGCCAGATTAACCCAAGAATTATAGATAGGACCTAATAAAAGGAAACTGGATTTCATTCTGTGTTTGTATCCAGGAACAGACTTGGCAAGGCCAGTCTGAAGTCAAAGCCTTAAAGGAGTCAACTATTCCACATCGGCTTTGGTTACTAGTTCTAAAGCAGTCTGTTTCTTAGATATCCTGAATTCTCTTTGCCAATATTTTCTTGTTGAGCTCTCTGCTCACCTTGGCCATTTCCCACTGTAAATCATATATAGGATTCTGTACTTCTTGATAAACTTGCTTGACAAGTCCTCAGCTTATGTAAGACCTTCAGGTCCTATCTATTGATTTGTATTCTTTGTTTGTCATCCCCAATCCTCCTATTCAACAGCAAGTAATTCCAGATCCTTATTTCAGGTCAGAATGCATTAAGAAATCCAATGTTTGTGTTAGGTAATATGAAGAAATATCATTGTTCAGGAAAGATAATAATAAAAAATATGGATTCATAAATGAAAATTCATGTATGGCATGTAATGAATTGCTCTGACAAATTTAATAAATTTGCAAGTTCTGTATGTTTCTCTGTATCTATGTTTTCTTGTACTTTTTCTTTGGCTTTATCTTCCATTTATTTTATGCCATTTTGAGTTGGTTTTGTTTTATATTGAGTTATTTTTATTATTAGTCCCTAGATGCCTGTTAATTTTCTAATGAAACACATGTGGGAAGGAAGTTGGAAAAGAGTGAGAATATTTGAGGAAGGTGAAACCAAATCAGAATATGTTCTATGGGAAAAGTTTATTTTCAGAAAAAAAAAAGAAACTAATAATAATATAGAATTCAAAGGTTCAAAAGAAAAATAAGTTTTATAAGGTTTCATTGCCAATAATATGAACAGTACCTTCATTCACTATTGATTACATCAGTATAAGTTTTATTTTATTATTGAGAATTTCACATTCATGATTGCTGACCATGTCTATTTCTAAAGATATAACTGTCCACAAATATTTGTAATATAAATGGAAGGTCTTATTAATTTACTTATACCTTGTAAAAAAGTAAGTACTCACTCTAATTTTGGAGTAATTATTGTTTTCAATTGTTGTGTAAGTAACCAAGGAATCTGGCAGAAATTGTCTTTAACTTACTTTTTCCTGTTATCTCCAAGGAAGGGGGAGAAAGTTAAAATTTGCATTGTTGCTTCAAGTTATCCTTCAGTGTACTTTTAATGCCATTGTAAACCAGCCCAAACCCTTGAGATTAATTTTCTCAGGGCTTCCTTCATATCCTTTTTTCTCAGGCTGTAGATAAATGGGTTCAACATCTGAGGAACCACAGAATACATCACTGAGGCCACTACAGTCTTTTCAGGAGAGTCAGTCACTGCAGAGCTAATGTACACACCTAAAATTGTTCCATAAAACAAGAAAACAATGGACACATGAGACCCACAAGTAGAAAATGTTTTATATATTCTCCCTTGTGATGGCACTCTTAGAACTGCTGATAAAATATGTGTGTAAGAGAAAATTATCTCAGAGATAGGAATGCCACCAAATACAAGTGATGCAAAATATACCAAGATGTTATTAATGAGTATATCAGAACATGCAAGTTTAAGGAGCTGAGCAAGTTCACAGAAGAAATGTGACATTTTAATGTCAGTGCAGAAAGACAAGCGAAGAACCATGAGAGTGTGCAAGAGCCCAAACACAAAGCTAAAAAACAGAGAAATTAGAACCATAAGGATACATGAAGAAGGGTTTATAATTGTGGAGTACCTCAGAGGGTGACAAATGGCCACATAGCGATCACAGGCCATCACAGCTAGGAGACAGTTTTCCAGTCCAGTGAAAACCAACACAAACAAAACTTTTGTAAGACAAGCTATGTAAGTTATGCTTTGATTCTGGGTTATGAGGTTCATAAGCATCTTTGGTATTGTGTTTGTGTTTAAACAGATGTCATTAATGGAAAGACTAGAGAGAAAAAAGTACATGGGTGTGTGTAGGTTTATGTCAGAGCTGACAGCCAAAATGATGAGCAGGTTTCCTAGCACAGTGACCAGATATATGCACAAGAAGAGACTGAAGATAAGGGGTTGGAGCCGAGGATCATTAGTTAGTCCAAGGAGAAGGAATTCTGAAATAGCTCAATTTGAAAGGTTTCTGAATTTCATTTGTCTGATAATTCCTGTGGAAATGAGGCCTGAAGGTAAAAAGCAATGAATCTTTACTAGATTTACAATAATTGTATCACATTCTGACTTGTTGGAAGTGATAACTTTAGGAATGGTTTACGCTCCCTGATCACTCCAAGGTATGTGGCTCTACAATATTTATTCAGCACTCAGAAGTATTTATAAAGCGTGATACTGAACACCTAGGAGAAAAAGTAAAATAGAAATAAACTCTTCATACATAACATAAAACGTAAATGTGCAGACTAATGACCTATGCTCACTTTTATTTTCCTCTTCTACAATGGCATTTATTTTATCAACCTGAAAAGTATTACACAATGATAAATCACTGAACTGTATGAAAAACATAACATATTTTCCTAAACAATCAATTAAAAAATCTATCATGACACAGTAACATTTAAACATATATTCAAGGTAGAATATGTGAACTTGGCCGTGCTAGAGAATAATGTGAAGAGCAGTGAGACAACCTATGAGACACTTTGCACTCTCAATTGTGGGAGGACAGAGAACACCTCCTGAACACCAGGTACACTGCAGAGATTTTAACATGCATGGGTTAGAGAGGAATATCCTGAAACTCAAATTGATGTTTTAGGACAAACCCAGGTAGTACACTCATGAAAGAGTTCTAAAACTTTTAATGATCTCTCATGTTTCAGAACTTATCATTTTGTTTTCTGTTTTTCTGAAATGATCTCCTTTTGCCCATTGACTGTTTTTCCCATTTATTTTAAGATATTCTGAGTTTTATGTATAGCTGAATAATGCAGATGCAGAGTGCAACTATTCAAGGTGTTCATAAAATTATTACATTTGAGAAGAGGTAGATTAATGTTTGAGAAGTAATGACAGAGATCAGATGGCCAGCAGAATAACATGTCTGATGTTGATGGCACTATATGTAAGAATGTGCTAAGAACATTTAAGTTATCTTCTTTTTTTGTGTTGTTGTTGTTATGCAAGAGGTTTATTGGTACCTGATTTTTCATATATGTTCAGTTTTTCTTTTTGCTTCTTTTGCATGAAATTGTATCAAAATATCCACATTTATATTCATTCACTAATGAAGTACTTACAAACTTTCTGTTGTTGTGAAGTACTGCTCAACATCTCACTTAAGTGTAGGAAAACCGAAGATCCTATTCTCAGGTAAGACAGGTGCAAAAATGACTTACTGGTTATATAAAAGTGGAAAAAAAGAGTAGGCTATTGCTGGCTTATGGCTTAGACACTTTCAACTAGTGTTTATCTGTCTGGCAGCTATAGTCTCAAAATTCCCCGCGGGGTGATAATGACATTACCTCATTATAGATCAGAAATATTACCATCGTTCTTATTCCAGGAATACAAGTCTATAGAGACCAGGAGAGGGGAAAAAAAACAAGCATTCAGGAAACATGACTTACTGATCCTATGGCCATGCTTCTGTTATTCAGTGTCCTCTGTTTTCTCTGTTTTTTAAACACCAATCATTGAAATTCAGGAAGAAAACCATGCATTCTACTTGTGTTCTTTATTTCTTGTGATCAAGAAGGATATTTGAGTGCAAAGTCTGAATATGTAACACATATTTTATATTATATACCTATAATATATGAATAAATTTTGCTATAAAATTATAGATATTTTTATTATTATTTATTATTTTTATATACTTTAAAACATAACCAATATTTTATTTTAGTTATGATTACATTGATTTTGCAATTCATATTTCACTGCATTTGCAGACATTTGTGTGTTTGTGTGTGAGTCATTGTGTTCATATATGAACTTCAACTTTAAGATATGATGTGCCTGGCACTCTAAGTCAGTGTCAGTCTTATTATTTTAAAAATATTTGTAGGTCACAATCTAATTATTCAACACTAAAAACAATTAGGATTTCATTGTGATATATTCACATGTCAGTATATATTTTATTTTCAATATGATTACCCTCTTTCCCTTCCCTTCCCTTCCCTTCCCACCTCAATTTGGATAGTATTTCTATATCTAGCAGTCATCCTCATTTAACTTTTGCTTGATTTTTTTGGGACAGAGTTTCTCTATATAGTCTTATATCTGAGTTTCCTGAACTAACTCTGAAGACTGGGCTGGCATCACACTCCTGAGTTCTAAAGCCATGTGCTACCACCATTTGGCTCTTTACTTCATTTATGAATGTAACAAAAACATAAAATTTCTATTTCTATTTTAACATTTCTCTTACTATTCTTAATTATGTTCTTGCACAATACTTGATGTCATCCTTCTTTTTCAGGGAATAATACTAACATACAATTTTAAATCTGTATATTTTCTTCATGTATTCATCTCTTGATAACAGGAATTTAGGCTGACATTCATCATGACTACATGAATACTACATCAATAGGATATAAAATTAATCTTTGTTTTACTTATCTTATGGAAAATTGTTTATGATAATGGATCACTCATGACTGATTTTTAAATAGGCAATTATTCACTAATAATAATATATTTGATAAAGTGTATTAGGGTTCTCTTGAGTCACAGAACTTATGGAATGGATATATATATATATATATATATATATATATATATATATATATCCTTGTAGCTACTAGGTTATGTTCATTATGGATATTAAAAACTGAGAAAATTGAGTCTTTTCACATTGTTCATAATTTTCTCTACCTACACTGGAGAATATGTCCCAAGTATTTGGGAAGATAATTATTTTGATGCTACTACATATAATACTTTATCATGTGGGTTAACCCCATTCCACAAAAGTATAATTTGCTGACAGAAGTTTCTGTCACACTTTGTCCCACAACTGTTTAGTCCTCAAAAAGTACACAAAGGTTTTTATTTAGTACAAACTGTTTGGCTAATGTCTTGGCTTCTTATTGTTTAACTCTCTTATTATTTGCCAATTTTTATTAATCTATGTATTTCCACATAGTTTTGGCTTATCAGAGAATACCTAACAGCCATGACTTTGAGTTAGCTACATGACATCTCTCTTGGGATTCACTATTTGTTCTTCCTCCTAGAATTCTCTGGATCTGGTAGCTCCCACCTATAATTCCTGCCTGTCTACCTCCTGCCTGTCCACTTGCTGAAGCAGCTTTATTCATCAACCACTAAGAAAAACATATATTCACAGCATACAAAATGACACCCCCCATCATTTTCTATTTTCTGTATAAATAAAAAGGAAGGTTTTAACTTGGCATACTAAATTAAACATCATAAAACAATTATCAAGCAAGAAATACAATCAACAATATTTAGTCCATTAGTATTTGGAAAAATTTACAGAAACTGCTCTATGATTTATCCTAACTTTGTGAGTCTCAAGTTTTATATGTAATTTATCTTTTATCATAACTAAAGAAAATCATAACCATATATATCTGTCTTCAACTCCATCAAAGATCTCAGAAGAATAATATATAAACAAACTCTAGAATTGACAGAGATATTTCATTGCCTAAGGAGTCAACAAAAGTTCATATGTAATGTTGGGGTATCCCTCTTCAGTCTATAGGCTCAGAATGCCTAGAATACTTGTTATGAAGCAGGCAAGTTCAGCAGTCACATTTCTTTTTCATCTGTTTTCTCAGTTTGGACAGCATGCTATCAAAAAGCCCAGGCAAGAGCAGTTTCTTGTCCAAATGTCTATTTCTGCCATGTTGATGGCAAACTCCATAACGAGTTTCTCTGATGCCCATCTTCATTTCTGATATAATTGTTGCTGCCAGGAGAAATTGTGTCTCATTGTTAAGATAAACACTAATAAACCATTTTAAATGCCATATGCTCCAGGTCTTTGAAAGCTTTTGAAGAATGGCTATCCATATGAAATATATCTATGTATATCTAGAAAACATCATAAGTTTTGACTATTATAACTATCTATACTCTGCACATAATTATTTATTACATTCATATTTTATATAATTTTTTAATTTTTATTTTACATATTGATCCTAGTTCCCTCTCCCTCCCTAGCTACCTCCCTCCCTCTCTCTCTCTTTCCCTCTCTCCCACCTTCTCATGCCTCCGGAATACCCACCCCTCCCATCCACCACCCACTCCACATATAGAATGATGCCCTCCAGGAGGGGTCACCTAAATCTGCCAAGTCATTAGGAATAGGGACTAGGCCTTCTCTCCTGTCTCTAGGTTAAGGGAGTATCCCTCCATGGGGAATGTGCCCCCAAAGTCCTTTTATTTGCATCAGAAATACATCCTGGTTCAAGGTCCCTTAGACTGCCCAGGCCTTCTACCTGAGACCCATGTTCAGGGGGTTCTGAGTCAGTACCATGCTGGATTTCCAGCTATCAGTCAGGGGAACCATTAGCTCCTCCTTGTTCAGGTCAGCTGTCTCTGTGTGTTTCTTCAACCTGGTCTTGTCCTCTCCCTCTGCATCTGGATTCCAGTTCGACTCAATGTTTAGGTATGGGTGTTTGCTTCTGTTTCCAACAGGTACTAGACGAGGGCTCCATGATGGTGGATAAGTTAGTTGTTCATCGCACTATCTGGGAAGGGCATTCATGGTAGCCTTTCCACGGTTCCTCAAATTGTTAGTTGTAGTCAATCTTTTAGGTCTCTAGACCTTTCTTTAGGTTCAGTTTTTTTTTTTTTCAAACCAATAATGGCTCCCTCTTTTATGTTCCTTCTCTCTCTCTCTCTCTCTCTCTCTCTCTCTCTCTCTCTCTGCCTCTCTCTCTTTCTTCTGTGTTGTATCCCTACCCTGACTCAATCTTCCTGGTCGCATGTGCTTTCCTCTTTTCCCTTTCTCTTTCTTCTACTTCTCTCTCCATTCACTGCCCCCGCCACTTCCCATGTATTCTGGGGGACTTGTCCTTTATATGAATCTCTTAGGATTTTCTCATATAGTCTTTGAGGGCATCTATCATTTTCATGAAGATAATTTTTAAGTCATTCTCTTCTGCTTCATCTGCTTTGGGGTGTTCATGTCTAGTTGGTGTAGAGTCCCTTGTTCTGGTAGTGTCAACGCTTGTCTTTCTATTGTTAAGTGCTTTTTTTGTATTGCTGTCTTCCTGTCACTTCTTCCAGTAGATGCAGGTGGGGTCTCTCTCTCTCTCTCTCTCTCTCTCTCTCTCTCTCTCTCTCTCTCTCTCTCTCTCTCTCTCTTTCTCTTATGGTACTCCCCTGGTTGGTTTAGGTGGGTCAGAAGTTCGATGTCTGTAGCTCTGAGTGGTTCAAGCTCTCTAGGAGGTCTCTCCTCAGACAGGGCCTGGCAATGGGGGTCAAAGATTGGGCTCCAGGAAAGGCCTGGTGAAGGTGGTCAAAGATTCAGCAGGCAGGGACTCAGGTTGGTCCTTCTGGGATAGATAGGTAATCTCTTCCCAGGGGCTGGAGCTCTGGCAGAGGACGGGTAGTATGGGTCTAATATCAGGCAGGAGGAGACTCAGGGTGGTTCTGCATGTATAGGCAGGTCTAGTGTGCTCAGAGCAGCTCCAGGAAGTTCCCCAAAGGTGGCAGGATTGTTGGATTTTCCCTCTGTTCCAGTCTCAACCAGAGTGGTGGAACAGTGGGCAGGGTATAGCACAGGGTGGGGGGAGGGTAGGCTCTTCATGCTGAGGATGTGTATTAGAGCACCAGGAGAGCTCTAGCTCTAGCAGACCCCATCTCTCAGGAGATAGGGGTCAAAATCCAGCAGGAAGGGACTAGGGATGGTCCCATGTGGATACGCCTATATATTACATTTTTTAAAAGAGGTAGATAAACACAATATGTGAACCAGAGTAGAAATATGCATATAACAAAATTGATCTTAAATTTGTATCCGTAAACCAAAATCTATAGATAAGTATTCACTTCTATGTCATATTCCTTTTCTTTTTTCTTTAGAACAAGATTGACTCTGATCATTAACTATTTATAACCAAAATTTGGTGTTTTTTAGCTTAGTGGTATGATCATAGTTTTGGTGGAATTGTCCTTGTGGGATTCCATCTTCTTTTTGGAGATTTCAGAGGTTGCATTAAATTATTATTACTATTTTTTTGGAAAAAAAAATTCTGGGCTGTTCGCCCTTCTTTAATTGCTTATTTGTCCAATGCTTTTGAATTTTTTAAGATGGTTGTTTTTATTTTCCTGAAAAGACAAAAACACAAAGATCCCCTAACCCTAACTTTGGGGAGGTTGCTAATCTAGTCTTTATCAATTTCAATTTGTGGTATCTCCTGAAGGTTTTGTTTCATCTCCTAAAGATCTTCTATATAGCTCAGCTTCTATGGCTAACTAGTGTGGCTGCTGAGATTAAAGATGTGTTCCATTGCTACCTGACCTCAGTGGCTATAGCCAGCTTTGCATTCTGATCTCCAGACAAACATTAGATCATAAACAATATATGTCTACATGAATGATAATGAATGATGGTTTGAATGTGGGGAAATAGCAAATAATATAATGTTGGAAGTCATTGTAAGCTGGTGCACACACTTTTGATGTCAGTATGTAGATTTCTTACAATACTAAAAATATATGTAATATATGACTTAACTGTACTATTCTTTGTATTATATACAAAGGACTTTATTTCTGACAAAGCAAAGTTGAATACAAAAGTCATGACTAGTTGTTTGTTATAGGTCTGTTCACACAGAAACAGTCTTTGAAAGTCTCCCAATATGAAAAAGCCAAAGGCAGATATTTTTAGTCTATAATTCTATGAGGCTTTCAAAGAAGAGCTAATGTTCTTCTTTTTTTTCCCCACAAAATAGGAACAAAGAAATAGTTTCCAATTCATTTTATGAGGCCAAATACCCTGATACCAAACCACATAAAAACCCATCAAAGAACAGTACTTTCAAACTGAATCCAAGAATGCATCAAGAAGATCATCTATCATGATCAAGTAGGTTTCATCCCAGAGATGTAAGGATGGTTCAACATATGAAAATCAATAAATGGAATCTACCACATAAACAAAGAGAAAACTCCACAATCTCTTTATTAGATGTATAAAATTCTGTGACAAAAATCAACTGTTGTGAATCATTTATTTAACTATGCAAAGATGTGATATATTTGTTCATTCTGCATTTGGTAACTATGCAAAAATGTGTTGCATTTGCATTAATTAAATAAAATTAACCTGAGCCTTTAGAGGCATGGTTAGCAACTGGTTGACAGGAAGTAGCAGGAAGGAGAATAGCATAGATATTTCAGTTGGGACTTTGTGAAATAGAGTGGCTCCTACTGGTGCCAGTAAATAAGGAAATTTTGTAAATTTCTACTCTAATTCTCTGAGTTCCCAGGTTTTCACCTGCCAAAGACTTGCTTTGTTTGGGACCGAGGACTAGGAATGTGGTTGGGGGTATGGGAGTAGAGCTTGGGGAGTGTGTGGGAGTTTGGCATTCATGTCCCAAAGAGGAAGTATAGAGTCTGAGGGGGAGGTTGGGGCTGAGGATAATGAGGAAGCAGACATCCTATGAGGGGCAATGGTCAATCAGGATGGCTACCCGCAGCATTTAATTGAGAAAAGATGACAACTTTTTTATTTAAACACTTTATTTTATATATTAATCTAAATTCCCCCCTATTCCCCTTTTCTACCCCATTCCATCCACTACTCAAAGGGGTAAGGCCTTCCTTGGGGAGTTCAATGAAGTCTGGCACACAAAGTTGAGGCAGGACAAAGTCCCTCTCCTCTGTGTCAAAGCTTAGCAAGGTATCATACCATAGGGAATGGGCTCCAAAAAGTCAGTTCAGGCCTCTGGGTTAGTTCCTATTGACACTGCCAGGGGCCCCAACAGATCAAATCACATAACTGTCACTCACAATCAGAGGGTCACTTTGCCATTTCTCTCTTCAAACTTACAATCTTAAAAATGCAATCACAACTTTTTGTGTTGCTGTTTAGTTTAGTGCTATAAAGTTGTCCTTTAATTATGGAATGAAGATTTGCTGAGGTACACAAGATACTTTACAGAACTATATGTCAGAGGGTGGAAAAATAAGCCTTCTATTTGTCATATTTTTGTGTGCTAATCAGCAAAGAATGTTTTGTCTTCACAGATGTTATCTCTGTAAGGATCTGTGCTGTCCTGTAGCCTTCTTAGAGCCAAATGGGCTCTATTTAATTGGGACTTTCACAAAGCAAAGCCCAATGGGACACCAACCCCACACATAATTAACCTGTGATTATCATTTAACTATCTTTCCCATTTAAGTATCCACTACATCAACATTAACTGCAGGAATACTTATTTCTGCATAGAAGAGAAAGTGCTGTATTGAAGTTTGGTGTTCGCAGAAAAAAAAATTACCTGTATTGTTTTTGGAAGTCCAAGAAGTGTATGTCATTCCTTGGTGCTAGTGCCCAGGTAATCTGAACAGATCCTTGTTTATGTTCTGCTGGAACCATTTATTTGATACATTTTTATTTTTCTAATACCTTATACTGGTCTTAAAAGGATTCTGTACAGTAGTCCAGTCTTTGATGTTTTAAAGAGTATTCTATAAATCTCAATGGGATTTTTATAGTATATTGGACAAAGCAAAAGTTACAATAATATATATGTATATATATATGTATATATATATACATATATATCTTGAATAATATTGGGCTTGCTATGCTATAGCATTTATGTGTAGAACAGATCTTTTTTGCTGTTTTTTGTATTTTGTATTTATATTAACAAGATCATGGCTGATACTGAGATAATAATATTATTTACTTTTTTATATTATCCTATGATTATTTATAATATACAACAAAGAATACTACATAGAACACAATAACCATATAAATTAAGCATTGTGAGATATTAATAACTTTTTTACTTTTAGTCTTGTATAAGATCACATATATATGTGGCTATGTGTGTCTGTGTGTGTGCTTCGATTCATTGAATATAATATAATAAAGTCTCAGTAGAATAATGAATATCAATTTTTGTTTCAAGATTCTGTATGGAAAGGAACACATATATTCTTTATATTATTAAAAACATAATACATATGCATTCTTTTAATAATGTCAAACATTATATACTATGTGTTTTAATTTATTGGTTAATTTTTGGATTAACATAAATATTTTAATTATGGTACAGTCTTCTTTAACATATATTTATGTTTATTTGGTATGTTTTAATGGCCATTAATGTAGTCTGTAAACTTCATTTAAGAAATTATTTTTCTCTAGTCACTTTAGTTATTTTATATTTAAAAATATAAATTCATGTGTGCATGTCTGTGTATGAATGTAGGTATATACTTACCATGGTGCATATGAAAAGGTTAGCAGTTTTCTTCTGGGAGTTGATTCTCTCTTTAGACCATCTGTGTCCCAGGGTTCAAACTCTGGATGTCAGGCTTTACACCTTTACCTGATAAGGTTCATATTTGGTAATTCTTGTTGCTAACTCTAGGTTACATTAATTTAATTATGAGACATTTCATTATATGAAGGTGAGAAATCATAATATTGTTTATCTACATTGAAAGGTTCAGTTTTTGGTCATTT